GCAGTAGTTAGGTAGCTGAGCCTGCTCATTGTTTTTCTCCCTGAGAACCACTGCAGATTTTACTTTTGGTTTCATGCAGAGTAGCAGAAACTGTTTTTACTGTAATTTGCACATCTAATGTGCACTCCAATTTCCAGCAATTATTTTTTGGGGAAACTCTGCATATTGTATGCAAGAAAATATGGTAGTTTGTCTTGTAGTTCTGATGGTTTCACTGAACTAGTTATTTTTGTTCAGTGGTTCAGGTAGTTATAAAATGCGACTTCACATTTTAAATAAGATTTGTTTTATAAGGACATCACATCGCTGACATGATACCATATCTAAGTACTAGTTTATTATGCTTTGCTTTATAGTTTGCTTGCTTGTTTCTGTTATTTTCATTTCATTTTGTATTAATAATTGATTAAATTCTTAATAATTTTAGCAACTGTCTTCTGCATATCACAGTGCAAATGTTCTGCAAAGTCACCAACATGCTACTTTCTTTACCACAACAAATGAACAAATTAAGAACGATATTATTCCTAGTCCAATTTTGTATGCATCTCCTTTTCTCTCTGAATTTGTTATTGAATGAGACCATCTTCTTGGCTAAGTACAGGCAGTCAAAAAGCCTGAGCCTGAATTAATTCAGTCTTCGCAGGTTTATCTAAGCTATGTAGATCAAACTGATAAGCAAGTGAAGAGACATTCACTTTTGATTCCAGAAATGCAGATACATGCCTGCAGTGGCCCAGGCCAGAAGCTGGGGGATGCTTGAGCACGCCTCCCAGCTCAGCTGGAGCAGACAGCTTGGGCCAAGGCTAGCCTGCCCACCTAGCAAAGTTGGTTTGCAGGGGCGGTCTCTCCTGGGACACTGGGAAACTGTGAGTTACCTTGAATCTGGAGGGGATCTGGAACAGAAATTCAGTAAACCAATTTAACCTAAATCAGTTAAGTCTGATACTGCATCCATCCAGATATATTTTAAGTCAATCTTGGCCTTTTTGAAAGCGGTTTATGTGCACTGAACTTGTCCCTAGCCCTGTTGTGTTACAAATTTGAATTGGTTTCCCATCACTTGGTTTATGTGTAATTTCTGTTCCTAGCCCTTATGACCTGCAGTCCTACTACCTCTACCATTGATCATACGTTAAGAAGCATCAAGGCTGGTCATTATTTGGAAGGAAAGGCAACATAAGGCAATGATGGTGATTTTAGGAGAGACACATTTTCTTATGAATCAATGCCAAACCAATTTCCCCACACATTTTTACAAAGCACAAGATATTGAAGGCTTCATCTCTAGCATTAGCAATAACCTTGATGTGGCTCTTGCATTCCACACCAGAGATGGCTCTGTAATAATTATGATTTAAGTGCTTTTTATAGATGCAGTGCAGATACTTTATTACTTGATTTGATGTGAAAGGTACTGTATAAATATAATTGTTTCACTTCATATTGCTGTTTTATTCAGTTTGGGAATTTAGTTTTCTATGCACATGTGAAGTTTTGCAACTACATCAGTAGTAAAACTCATTCTGTGGTTTTGTACATAATGTGATTGTTCAACACCTAGTAGATTTTTAATGTAAAAAAAGATTTGGGAATAATACACTGGGCATAATTATTTCTGAACCAGCAGTTCATTCAGCAAGTGCCCTAATTGTGTCAGCATTGCAATAGCTATAGTTTAATTTGTATTTTGACTGAATCATAATGTTAAAGAAGCATGCAATCTGACTGTCAGAGAAGTTATCTGCATGTTCAACTCTCAGTTAATTATCTAAAAGGCATAAAAATAATTTTTAACATGTTTTAAAAATCTAACAGTCATTGTTATGTAGTATATATACAATTCATTTAACAGAAACAAAAGTCACTTTGAGGTTTTGTTTATTGTGTCTGCATGAGAGATGCACTGGATGTATTTGTACCATAAGGTCAGTGAATCTTTTCTCACAGATAAAGGACTGTTTCGTTTGTTTGATGGAGGCTGGGCATTCTTAATACTCTGCCTGTTAATGATTTGCTTTATATTAGCACTATATACTTGGTTAGGGATACTTATAATAAAAAATGTAAATGTCTCCTTCCTTTTGAAATAAAACATGTAAATGCCCCTTCCCCTTTTGCAATGCCTGATTATCTTTAAATGCTAAGATTAAAAATATATTGACTTTCTTAAAGAAAATAGTAATGAAGCAATTGTTCTTCAGTTCTGGTGTTTTTATCTTATAAAGTCAAAGTAAGTAGAAGAGGAGAGTACCAGAGCTGGTATAAACAGATAAAGTTTCATAGATTTTATAAATGGACTCATGCCATTAAATTGTAATTTAGGGAGGCCTAAATATACCATCTACATTTCAAGTGTTATTTTTGGTTAAATTTGGTTAAAAAAACCCATGAGTAATATTTAACAGTGTTGTATATGTTTTGGTTTGTTTCCAGTTTATGATCATATCGTTTTGTTGTCAGTATTATTTATTTTTAAGTCAACATAGATCATTTCTGTAAACACTAAAAAATTATAATAACAGTTATGTTGATTTGCACTTTCACTGACCTCTTCCATGTACTTTAGTTCATTTCAATTTGACAATAAACTTCAACCTACAGTATTTACAGTGGCAAGAGTTCTGTGGCTTTCTCAGACATTTTGGGGACTGAGAGTGGCTATTCAGGATTGATGAGGCTCCTTTTGCTGTTTAGGGCTGGTTGATGTTCACTGACTAGTTGAAGACTATTTATTAGCAAACTGGACAGCATCCGCATTTCAAATGGTGGGAATGTGAGCCTTCTGATTTGTTCTATGGTCATTTGTACAATGTAACCAATATTATCAGCAAATAACTGACAAAAGAACTTAAAAAAAAAAAAAACTTAAGAGGAGGTTTTGTGTTGAGTCCTACTTTTAAGATTTGGGGTTCAGATAAAGAAATCTTATTATTCTTCCATAAGTTTTATCTTAAAATTTGTCCCTCTATAATAAATCCTTTGGTCTTTCTATGTAACTACTGCCTACCTTCCTCCTTAGTTAAGTAGAAAGATGGTCCATTACACTGACCTAGGACTGAGAAGACTGTGATTAAATCTGCACTTCTGCCTTTATTTCCTATATGATCCTGAACAGGTTGCTTTTGGCACATCTACCTAGTTAGGGTGTAAATGTGGTTCATGTCAGCTGAGCTAGCTTTAAACCTGCTCGCCTATGTGTTGATAGCAATTAGCCAGGGGAGTATTGAGCCCAGCAACATCTACCCAAGAATGTGGGTAAATCTCAAGGTGACTAGTCCATACTAAACTCTGTATTGCTACAGACACAATGGAACTGACACCAAATCATCGATGTCACTGAAATTGACACATCTACTGTATTTCACATGCAATAGATAAGGTACATCGGGATCAGCATGTTTGTGTATAAGGGAGAGAGAGAAAGGAAGTGGATTGTAGTGAGAGTGAATTGAAGGATGAGAAGAGGCTTGAGAAAGACAGCTGTAGATGAGACCTATAGTAAAGTTCTGGTCTAAGATAAGGATCTGAGATTGTGTGGGAGAAAAAGGAGGACGGGGAGTGAGGACAAGTACGTGTGTAGAACATCTGAGAAGTGAGGGAGAAAGACATAAGAAAATGTGAGCAAGAAGAGTGGATTGAAGCATGAAGAATGATAGAAACAAGGAGAAACAGTAAAAAGAGAAGCAGCTTTAACTGGAAAATGTTGCAAGAATATACCTGATATACTTGTAAGTAGGGGTGTGTGAAGCGGGCAGCATTCAATTCAGATCCAGATTCGGCCCGATTCGGGGGACAGTGATTCAATTCACTGATTTGGATCATTGTCCTGACTTGATTTGGCCAGATCTGAATCTGAAGATTTGATTCTGATTCTGAGAATCAGTGATTCGGTCATACAGACAGCTTTATATGTATACCAGGCACGACTGGTGAACACTGAGATGGTGGGGCAAATGGAGTATCCCACAGGAGCCCCCCCCCATGCCCTCCCAGCTTGGCAACTGGCTGCAAGGGGATCCCAGGTGCCCCACAAGACCCAGGAGGCACCAGTCACCAAGCCAGGGGACGGTCCCCCGCATGCTCCACAGTGGACCTGGAAGTGGACCAGAAGTGGACCTGGTCCACTTCCAGGTCCACTGCTGAGCGTACGGGGGACCACCCGATACTCACATGGGATGCTCCATCTACCCCGCCATCTCAGCACTCACGAGCTGTGCCTGGTACCTCAAGGTATGTAGAAAAAACATATAAAGCTGTGTCTATGGCCGAATCATTGTTCTCTCCGAATTGAATACGAGGCTTCCAATTAATTTCGGAGAGATTAATGGGTCTCCTGATTTGATTCGGATTCAGAGATTTGGCCGCCGAATTGGGCCAAATCTCCTCTGTATCAAATCAGCAACTGAAGCTTCACACAGCCCTACTTGTTAGGTAGATATTAGGTATACATAATGCACATAAAAGTGTCCATTGATTGGTTATACACCAACTGTATTCATCCTGACATGTAGCTAATTAGGATGGTACAGACATCTGTAATAAATCCCTGATACAATTTGCATGTTATCTTGCATTATATTTGATGAGAGATGAGAACAGAATGGTGAGCACTTTTAGTCTCATATTTACAATCCTCACATAATATATATTTTATATAAAGCAAATATGGCCTGGTTGGTGGCAGGCAGGGACGACTGCTCACTATGCAAAATATGGTCCTTTCATTGTTGCTTTAATCTGCCATCCCTTGCCAGTTTGTTTCACCAACCTGTCACACCTTGCCAAATGCCAACTTTGTAAGTAGCCTTTGAACTTCATATCTGAACAGCAACCTAGAATGAAAGGATCTTGAATCCTAACTGAGGGGCTGTACTACAGTGACTTTGTGCAATATCTTTTAATTTACTTGGTACAATCTTCAAAATGAGTCTACAGTCTGTTTTTCTTTTACCATCTACTGAAACATGCGTTAACAATAAATATTTTTCCCTGTCTAGCTGTACCCCATAAAATAGGGCGGATAATTGATGGAAGTCCTGCTGACCGCTGTGCAAAACTAAAAGTCGGAGACCGGATCTTAGCTGTGAATGGCCAATCTATTATTAATATGCCTCATGCAGATATTGTGAAGCTAATTAAAGATGCAGGTCTTAGTGTAACACTTCGCATCATCCCTCAGGAGGGTAAGTGTAAAGCCTAGAAGGAAAGTTATGAGCCTTCAATTAGTTTGAATCGCATCACTATTTCAAAGTGAGGGGGGGTTGTTACACATGCACACAGCTAGGACATGCAGGATGTGCAGGTTATAATTGCCCCAGCATTCTCAGACTGCCTGTCTTGCGAATGCTTACTGGTATATCCTCAAAGCCACTTTAAAGCAGATACATTTACCCACTTGGGCCTGTAGTGCATGCTAAATGGGCAGGGCTTGCTTCTTTGTGATGTTCCCACAGAAGTAGAAAAAACAAACCCTAAGGGACTCACAAGAAGAAAGGACTTGGTTCTGCCCAAACTTTCATGTTCTGTTTTCATGTACACCTGTGACTGCTAAATGGATGTAAGTTACTATCTTGGTGCAAAGCGGGAATTCTCACTGATCACATTTTGCAAAGATCTGATCACACAGCATGCAAGTTATGGGAGAAGTAAACCCTAAAGTATTTGGGTTTTAGGATTGGAACTGGACAGACTCATTATTCTGGGCATCACCTTGCAAACTAATCAGTGGAGTTACTTTGATGTTAGCTTCATGTTTCTTGATTTCAAAGAGCTGCAGTGCCAATATATGAAGTCTGCTGCATTAATGAGATTGTGGTTTTAAATCCCAGTTTCAGAATACAAGTGTGGCTAGGAATGTCAAATACAAAAAGCAACGTGATTACTTGCTGATTTGTGTTCTATTTAGATGACCTTCACCTCTCAGCACTATCACTTTAACAGCCACTGAATATTATATATGGAAATTGGCAGTCACTGGCCATGGATAATAGCTGCACCAAATTATCTGCTTCACTAAATGAATCCAGTGCAAAGAAATACATATAAAACTAAAAGAACAGCAAAGTTCTACTCCTTTAAATAGTAAAATTTATATTCCAGTTCAAATTTGCTCAGACTTGTATTGAAAAAGTTTTAAATTTAGTGAAATACATTACCCAGAGGTCAATTTTATAAATATCTACAGAGATGTGTCATGTAGTATCTAATCAACACTGTTCAGTTAATCATACGGGCATTTAACAATAATCCAGATAGATCCAACTACAGTAGCACAGGTTACCTTAAGCAGCAGAGAAAGCAGAGGCACACCTGAAATGGTTGGGTGCTACAAAGGATGGGGGGGTTGGGGGGGGCTCAGGAGCAATTGCTGAGAACAGATTAGGGCAGGGGCGGGCAATTATTTTGGGTGGGGGGCCATTTACTGAGTTTTGGCAAGCCATCGAGGGCCGCATGACAGGCATCCCAGGGCAGATTAATATTACTTTTCTAAATTTTTTAGGGGCCCCGCAGGCCGGATAGAATGGCTTGGCAGGCCGCATCCGGCTGGCAGGCTGCATTTTGCCCACCCCTGGATTAGGGGTTAGAACACAGAGGTGGCTGGAAGCCCTGTCAGCTGAGGGGGCTCCCAATTGTAGGAGCTCACTACTAGCCAGGGCAGGAGGAGCCTGGGATCATGATCCCAGACTTCTCCTGCACTGGTAATAAGGCATGAAGGGATCTGATGCATGATCCCAGAATCACGCCTCCTATCGGTCATGTGTGGCATGGTAGGAAGTATGATTGTGTGGATCCTGCATTTGATCCCATCACACCTTTTACCTGCATGTCTGGAAAGACCCTAAATATGAAATCAGTATTGATTGCACCTGTAAATTCAGGTTCAGCCCCAAGTTCTTGGAGTGCAAACTTCAAGGCCTTTTTCAACAAATTGGCAAAAATTAAACTATCCCCAAGAATCCAAACTTTTTAAATGATCATAAAATAAGTGAGCACAACTAGGAAACTATATAGATAGGAGGTAAAGGTTAGAAATCTAGTAAAAATTAGAAGAATTGAAAGTGCTAAGGAGACCATAATCAGGTCAAGCCCAAGACCAAGATCTCACATGCACACATGTCAGGATCAAGCTCACACAACACACACCCACAGTTTTAAATTAGGACTCCTATTTGTCCAGCTGCAAATGGGAACAAGGAGTCTAAAGGTGTTTTCCCTGACCAACTCCCTGCATTATGAGAAGTAGCCTCTGAAGCTGTTGCATTCCCTTCTACACTTGTGAGCAGAGCTACACGGGTTGTTTTCCCTAGGTCATCCATGCCCAGATATATTATACTTGGCAGCTGGCATAGCTATGCCACTATGCTGTAGGAAATCTGCTGTGCCAGGTATAGGCTTTGCACAGACTTAGCACACTCTTTTACCCCCAATTTCCAAAGCAGGAGAAAACCTGCACTGTTCATGGCAAATCCCCTTTCTAATTCTCTCCTTGTCCATTGTGTTCTTTTCCCCACCTTTCATCTTCATTGTCTTTTCAGATGGGAGGCTGCTTGGGAAAAGGACCCTGGTTTTCTACATGTATCTGTAGAGATCTTGGCATGTTGCATGCTACTGTCAAATTAATAATAATTGTAGCTGGGTATTTTAAATGCATCTAGGTTAGTTTCACTATCCATAGCCCAACTTGCAAGCTCCTATAATAAGATTAAACCTTCTCCTAAAAGGGTCTATGGGAAAACATTAGTTGACTTGAAAAAGAGCAGGAGAAGCCACAAATAGATCAGCATTTTAGATCTTGTTGCAACAGTTTGTCATCCCATAACTGTAACGAAAGCAGTAAAATTTTTCATTCTCCCCAAATGTTAGTTTCCAAATATCAATATTTCTAGGCTTTTCAAAGAAACTATGAAACATGGAACCCATTTACCCAGTTTGATTGGGTTTTAAATAACAGATGTGTCAGCTGGAGTTATAGAAGTGACCAGGATTCCAGATCTTAGGGAATATCAAATGAAGCTTATTCGGTTCAGAAGTCTTCAAATCTAATTATAAGCCAAGATAATAAAAGCGACAAAACGTAAATTTTCAGGGGTAGAATGTGACAAAAAATGATTATTGTCTACCTTTGCCCTTTATTAAATACCACGTGGTGACAGCTCTTTAATCTCCAGCTTCCCATTATGCAGAGCTGAACAGTCCAGCTTCAGCACCAAGCTCAGAGAAACAGAGCCCCATGGCACAGCAGCACAGCCCGATGGCTCAGCAGAGTCCACTAGCACAGCAGAGCCCAGTAGCACAGCACAGCCCTGTAGCACAGCCACCACCTCCACAACCACTTCAGTTACAAGGACATGAAAACAGGTAAGAACCACTGCTCCCTATTCTGTCTCCTTTAAGTCCAGTTTGAGATTATGGCCTAAGTGGTCTCCCCTCTGTTTCTAACTATTGTGATCTGGGATGTTGCTTGTTGGCAACTTTGACCCTGCATTCAAGTGGTAACATGCACAGTATAGAATTAAATTTAAGCAAATTAAAGCGCATTAAATTAAAGTGACAAACATTGTTTGTCTACGGGTAAGAAATATATCAGCCTAATCAAAGATCTAGCAATGCTTTCCTAAAATGAGATGTACTATGTTCAAGTGTAAGACCCTCAGAATTAATTTTTTGCTAGAAAACTGAACAACATGATAGTATCATTGCTAATATCTTCATCCTAGCAAACTTCATTTTTTGTTACAAAACAGGTTTATACCTATTAAGCTCACAGAAATAGAGCCTTTTTAGTAAATTTAAGAACTAACCCCTCTATCTTCTGTTAAATAAAACACTGCTGCTAAGAAAATATTTTTCACTTACAGCAGGCTTTATCTACAGCAAATCAATTTCATCCAGATGATTTTTCCTATTACATGTATAATTTGTGTGTACATATTGTGACTGAATGATACAGCAAATTAGGGAAGAATTTTGTGACCAGCTACTTTAAGAGCAAAATGTATTTAAAATAGATCTAGATTGAAGAATAACATACTAGTTTGTGCATTTTCTACTTTCTAGTCAACACTCTTTTATCCTTAGATTTATTTTTTCCTGTCAAATAAAGCTGATTACACTACCTGCCTTTATGCTTAACTTGACAAATTAATATATGTCCTTAGCCCATAAACAGTAAAGGCCAGTTCTAGCATTTCTGCACTCTGATAAAGGAATGATATTCAGTTTTGCCTTTGGTGTTATGCACTATAAGTCACCTGTGCTTAATATTCCTATCATATGAACCAAAATGCCTGCCTCCAATATTTCTACAGGTTTTAAATTTATTTTTCTCATATTTCATTAGACACCAAACTGAATTAGCCCAGTTCTCAGAAGATCTGTGCCTCTCACGAAGTCTAATCCTACAACAATTTTCAGTCCCATTTGGGCCAACTTTATCTCCGTTATAAATGTCTGCAAGATTGGAACCCTTGTGTGACATACGAACTATATTTTTTTTATAATTATGAAAAGATGGCTTGTCCAGCATTTTACTAGAAGTCCAGTGAAGTATATAAATCCAGTTAATAAATCCGTTTGCATAGTCAACAAGAGCTACTGTGGATTCAATTTGTAAATAACTGCATCATCTTTTAGGATACAGATATGCCAGTATAGTATGAACACCGTATTAGCCATTGTCTATAATGGCTAGTGTCCCAGGAAAGAAATGTGGTATTATTAATTGATATAGTATGGTATTTTACTAGCTGTTAATGTTCACATGTTGCAATGTGTTTATATAATTATGAACCCAGAAAGGTTGTTTTTCTCTGTCATCCAAGGTTAACACACTAACTGATGTTTAAATTTATAAACATTATTTTTTTTTCTTACAAAAAACTCACTATTACAATAATTCTGTATTCTACATTTTTGCTACAGGAAATCACTATACTAAAAAGTAAGGAAGCTAAGAAGATTGCAAATAAAAAAGTAGATACTATTATGAATACAGTGTACAGATTTTGACAGTACATATGTCAGTGTATATTTGCAGTCTTTCAGGAAAGTCTTACAGGAAATAAATAGGGTTTTTTTTTCCTTTTCTTTATGTGTCTGGTTGGAAATATAGCTAATAATGTCTAATTTTTAGGTATTACACTATAACAATGAAGTTTCTTTGTTGTAGTTTAAAAAAAAGAGACATCAACAACACAATAAAACTTATTTTGATGAAGAAATAAGCAGATTCAAAATAATGTTCAGCCTAATTTCAGCTGCTGAATGCATTCATTGGTGTCTTTTTTTCATGGAGGACAGTGTGTACATTATTTCATTCAGTGCATTAACAGCTTGCTGAAGCTTTAATAAGGGCATCCTGAAATATACATCAAACAAATACAAGCATTAGATTATGAAAGAGTCTGCTAAGTCATGATTTTAGTTAAATCAAAATTAGATGCCTCTTACAGAAGTGTCTGAACAGCACATTCAGGGCCTGCTTTAAGGCATGTTCAATATGTTACACAACTAAAGCATTTAAAATGACATTACGAACTGGATTCCCTTTTTCTTCTTTAAGTACAGCGCTATATAATTCACCAATGCCCATTTGGATAAATATGCAGTGCTTGCTTTTCTGAGGAAGTATAATTTCTTTGGAAGACTGTGGGCCTCAATTTCTTTTATCTATTACCAGTTAAAACAATGTTTTCATAGTTTCATAGTTTCTAGGGTCGGAAGGGACCTGGGCAGATCATCTAGTCCGACCCCCTGCGATCCCCCCCGACTAGTTTATAGCAGGCCACAAGATCCCCCCTCAGCCTTCTCTTCTGGAGGCTGAACAGGTTCAGGTCCCGTAACCTTTCCTCATAGGACCTGCCCTGCTGTCCCTTGATCATGCGAGTGGCCCTCCTCTGGACCCTCTCGATGCTGTCCACATCCCTCTTAAAGTGCGGCTCCCAGAACTGGACGCAGTACTCCAGCTGCGGCCTGACCAGTGCTGCATAGAGGGGGAGGATCACCTCCTTGGTCCTGCTTAAAATGCATCTGTGGATGCACGACAAGGTACAGTTGGCCTTCCTAGCCGCCTCCCCACACTGCCGAGCCATGTTCATCTTGGAGTCAATAATGACTCCAAGATCCTTTTCCACCTCCATGCTGACAAGAGGGGAGTTCCCCAGCCTGTAGGTATGGTGCCGGTTGTTCCTCCCCAGGTGCATCACCTTGCACTTGTCTGTGGTGAACCCCATCCTGTTCTCCTCCGCCCATCCTTGTAACCTGTCAAGGTCCGACTGTAGCCTGTTGCTGCCTTCTATTGTGCCCACATCCCCCCACATCTTGGTGTCATCAGCAAATTTGAACAGGGTGCTTTGCACCCTCTCATCCAAATCACTGATGAAGATGTTGAACAGGGCGGGCCCAAGGACCGAGCCCTGCGGGACCCCACTGCCCACATTTAATAATGTTTTATACATTATTAAATCCTCATTAACCAAAATCTGTTTCCTCCATTCATAAATGTGCATTGTATGACACATCTACACTCAAGTACTAGTATGACTTACTAGGAACAGCTATCATAAGATTTTTTAGGAAGTCAGAGCACTTAATATTCCCTATATTAATGGCAACTATATCAAATATTTATTTTATTAACAACATAATGGCTGGGCCAAAGAACATGTCCTTTCCTGAATTTAAGAGCTCACAGTAACAGTAGCTTATCTCAATAAAATACAGAGGCTGCAAATGTCTACATTTCTTTAATATTTTAATACTTCACTTTCTCTATGCAATCTGAGTTCTGGAACAAAGTACTAAACAAGCAAATGTATTCTTTCCCTTTGTACTATATTTTTATACATTAAATTTAGTCTTTGGGTTAGACAAGGTAACTGAGTCCTGTTTCAGCCCCTGCCACATTGGGCCTAGTCCTACTCCCATTGAAGCCGATGGAAAAATTATGCTCAATGGTTTTGGCAAAGTCACCTAGCCACAAATTAGATAACTCAATTTTGCCCTGGAAAGCACAACTCAGACACAGGATCTGCTTCTCTATGAAGCCCAGCTTTATACAATTTTACACCTGAGTAGTCTCCTTTTAACTCTTGGTATTGCATTTCATGCCTGCTTACAATTTGTTTTAGCCTCACACAGCTTTCTTAAAGTATAAAGCACCAAAATAATCATTCTAACTTACTCAGTTATAGGTCAGAAGTAAAAGCAAGACAAGATGTGAAACCTGACATCCGACAACCTCCGTTTACAGACTACCGGCAGCCCTCAACAGACTACAGACAACCTCCATTAGACTACAGGCATCCGCCAGTAGTGGATTACCAGCAGCCACCACCTCTGGACTACCGGCAGCCACCTTTGATAGATTATAGGCAGCATTCTCCTGACACCAGGCAATACCCTCTCTCAGATTACAGGCAGCCCCAGGTACAAGCCAAAAGAATTACAGAGCTCAGAAGTGCAGATTTTTAATTCACCTTAAGCTTTTTATGATGAATTAGTATCTTCTTGCTAAAGAAATTAATTCCTAATTCATTAATGTTTGTGAAAAGATATGTAATATTTTATAATGCTGTAGCTACAACTATAACCAGGCCTTTTTAATATGTATCAGAGAGTTAAAATACTTGTGAGACAACCCACTTTCCAGAACAGCCATATACCAACCATTCAAATAGTCTCTTACCACAGGCAAAGCCTTAAAGACTCGATCTCATCCTAACACAGTAAACCTTGTGGTACATCCAGACCAGATTCATAGATTCATAGACATTAGGGCTGGAAGGGACCTCGGAAGATCATCGAGTCCAACCCCCTGCCCCAGGGGCAGGAAGTCAGCTGGGGTCATAGGATCCCAGTAAGATAAACATCCAAATGTCTCTTGAAGGTGTTCAAAGTAGGTACTTGAACCACCGCAGGCGGCAGTGTAGCAGATAACTTGCAGATAGCAAGTCTACATAATAGTCTATTGCTATAGAAAATGAAGATTATTTCAAACCAAAATAACTACAAAGAGCTTTATAAAAGTATCAGAGGGATATTGTTCCTTATTCATAAAATGATTTTTGTATACTTGGACTTGCTGTGAATAATCTATGCAAATCAAAACGTGTTGTATGCTAATTAGTCAGATGTCTGTTTTCACACCAAGCCCAATCTCACAACCTTCCAGAAATAAGCTTTATGTTAGTGGTTTCATTAATGTGAATCAAATCATTCTCATGTATTTCTAATGGTGTTAGGAAGGCAGGATTGGGACCAAAGCTTAGATTTAAACAAATGACAAAAAGTGGGTAAAAATTGGCTTAAAAATATGGCAGAAAGATTATTAAATCAAAAGGCACATGGTCTACATTTTTGGAAGCCCTCAGAAAACACTACAGACCCAGAAAGCTCTCATAAGCTTCACTTTAAGGGACATGGGAAAATGTAAATACTTTGTAAAAATCATAGAAATGATTTATTTGCATATGATAATTGAGTAATTCAATACTCACATAGATATGCTTTAGGGTTTGACTTAACAAAAACAAATCCATTCATATAGTCATTTGGGTTTTCACTTTGTTTTTACCTATATAGGATTTTGATTATTTCACTGTTGACTTGGAGAAGGGAGCCAAAGGATTTGGATTTAGCATTCGAGGAGGAAGAGAGTACAAAATGGATTTGTATGTGTTGAGGTTAGCAGAAGATGGGCCAGCAATAAGAAATGGAAGGATGAGGGTGAGTAATTTAGCTCTTTAGGAACAGTCCTAAGGCATAAATTCTAAGAAATATTTTGCATCAGGATATTTTTGTGCAGATTGTGTGTAAGAAAGAGTTGTATTTTGTGACAATAGAAATTAATTGTTTTCTTTCCTCCTGTCAAACAAGGGCAACCACTTTTCACTATAGAAAAGCATTGAGGAAATAACATTAAATAGACAACAGGTCTGTATCACTTCTTTGTAAATGGCTTAGGTCATATTTTATTACTAATAGCTGCTTGGGGAAAGGCTTGGAGAGGGGTTGTATTTTTCTCCATTTTATTTAACTCATATCTGAGTATGTTAAACCCCACCCTCCCCAACAAAGTGTTTGTTGCTTCCTTAATCAAAATATTGGCATAATCAGTATTCATTTTCTAGCTCAAATATACAGGTAAAAAGTAGTTTGTAAATGAGATAGCGTCCAGAAGAACAGGGCTCAATTTCTGGCTCTTCCACTGATTTGATGTGACCTTGGGAAAACTAGTTTTCCTCTACTTTCCCCATCTCAACCTCTGCTCGTTATGTGTATTTAACTGATAAAATCTTCTCTCCAGAGCAAAATATTTTCACTATTCTCCTGTACAATAGCTGGTACAACAAGACACTAATTTCTGTTGGGGCAGAATTTCTGTTTGGGGCAGACGCCCCAAATTGGGGCAGAATTTCTGTTTGGGGCAGACGCCCCAAATTTCTGTTGGGGCGTCTAGTTGCTAATATAATAAAAAAACCATCAGTCCACAAAATGTGAAAAAATTGTAACATTCATTTAGAAAATTATACAAAATACACTTTACTATATGTAGGAGGAATAATTTGACAAGAAAGTATGTTTTTCATCCTTCCAGCTATTTGTAAAAGTGGCAATAAGCTTTAGATTTGGCTGTAAACACCAGCAGTTTATTGACGAAAAAAAATGTGGGGGCGGGGAAGTCAACCAGGCTAGTTCAGTTAAAATGACTAACCAGAAACAGCTTGTAAGCTTGTTTCACCAATATTACTATATTTATTCACATACTATACACATCTTTTTCCCAAAAAATAGCTTTAAGGAAAATTCACAAGCTGTTTCTGGTCAGTCATTTTAACTGAGCTGGCCTGGTCTGACTCCCCGTTTCCTGCCCCCCCACCCCCCCTTTTTTTTTTTTGGTTCATCAAAAAACAACCACGCAACCATTTCTTGCATGAAGAAATGCAAGAAATGGTTGCATTTCTTGCATTTCTCCGCTTTGCAGAGCCAGAGCCTACCGCCCTTTCAATGGCAAGAAAGATTCTGCCCATTCCTCCATTGTTTTGTTAAGGAAAAATCTTTATTTCTTCATTCCACCTTCCCAAATTAAGGTGTGTGTCTTATAGGGTAGGGGTGTACGGTATGTGAAAGATAAAGATGAGCAATAGAAAAAACATTGTTGTGCTAGAAGAATTTTTGTAGATGGTGTAGTTCTGAATTCATTTATCTACCTATGCCCCATGCAATCTCATCACATTGCTTTCATCTTTTAAGAATACTGAGATTTATATTAACATAATATTATGGTGCAAAACTTCAACACGCAGGTCAGGATTTTCTGAAATGTTATTATGGTCCACATGTCAGTGTTAAGTTGCCCTTTTTATACAGATTTGTAGGACTTAAGTCAGCCCTCCATTATGCAACAGAGTACATAGCCCCAGCAGTGGCAGGTGCCTGGAGAAGTGTTGTGGCAAGACAAATCATCCTACAAACTCCCCTTTGACTAGGAATTAGATTCAGCCAGTACTGCCCGGTAACTCAGAAACACTGCCTTGCTATATTTAGGATATGAGATATACTTTGGTGTGTCAGTTAATAGTTAAACCTTAAATTTAAAATTTCTTTATATGTATATTTGTTCTTTCCTCTATTGTTGCATTATCATAATTAACTATGCTTAATAAAACATCAACCAGAATTCACATTATTACCTATGGTGTAATTAATGGTGAGGAAAGTGATAGTGTTGTCTTTTAATGGTAATGTAGTTGAGAACATATGACCATGGTTACAGAACCACAAAGGGCAACACTTTTAAAGAAGTGTCATTGCAAGTAATTTCCTGTATTTAACCAAAGGCCTGACCTGTAAAATTATATGCAAAAATTGAATAGAATAACATCACAAGTATAAAATGGACCTTAGAGTTTATTGAATGAGTAATGCTATATCCATTTTACAGAATTAACTATAGTATATTAGTCTATGGCTCTTTTCAGTCTCGTTAGGAAATGTTTTATAACCTTCTATGAAAAATACTAATTTCTTAAACAAATTATTGTAAAACTGACCTAACTGTTACAGTGATTGCATGAAGCCAACAATCACTGCTCCCAGATGTACACCTCTTCATGTCTCTTTTTGTCCCTCTCAAATGCACTCTTTGGGGCACAGGTTGTGCCGTCTCCTCTCTGCTCTTACTGAGACTGCACAGCTCTCACATTATTACACTGGACCTCTGGGCTGCAGCTTTCTTATTTAACAACCATTTACATGGATATACCCATTGAGTTTAGCATCTGTATGCCCATTAATCCGTCCTCCTCTTCCTCCCCCTGGCCTATGACCAGCAAGAATGGTTTCTTCAAAACCAAGTAGCATTTATTCACTGGCAGAAACACGATATCTAGGAAAATGGGTTAAAGAAAGCAGGAGCTTTCTATGCCTGTTTACTAACCTAAACTTAACATTTCTATCCATAACTTAAATCAATCCATTAAGGTTGTTTTTCTTCTCTTTGGTTGGAAAGTCAGCTTGCTTGTTGAAACATCTGTCATCCTGTTTGCCAGAGCCTCCTTTATATAACTGTAGTGCTTGAAAATGTTCTTGGTACTCCCCCATCTACCCCTCTTTATTCACAGGCCAACAGTCCCTGTGATCCAAGACTTTAAGCCATAATAATATTAAGCAGCCAGCCCAGTGGAAGGCAAGGAAGGTAGTTTCACTCTTTGAGGGGCAGTGACAGGAACTATTACTTCTGACATTGTTTTGTTTCCCTGTTAGTCTTTGCAGTCACAAGATGATATCAAATTGATAATCCAAGGCACTACACCAGCCAAGCCATGAAAGGAGAAGTTGAAGCCAACTGTTCCACTGTGAAGAACATATCAAGATATAATTAAACATATTATGGATTAAAGCCTATTTTAAACTCAGAAGTTTTACTGGTAGAACTATTTTAGTTTAGGAGGGGTTTTTTTTATATTAATAGTTACTCTGGTACAGGTGCATAAGGGTCACTTGTATAATTATTCCATTTCTTGTTGAAGAACAGTATAAAGCATTTTGATACCAACCTAACTGCACCAGAATATGGAATTGTGCCATTTTAAGATCACCAGTATAGTTAAAGCAGTAGGACTTACCAGGTGCACCTACACTTGCACTTTACTACAGAGTTGACTAATTAGCTCTGCAGTAAAGTGTTACTGTCTACCCCTGTGCTGGTATTAGGGTGCAGTAAATTAATTAACTCCACCATAAGATAGTATTGTTGGGGACAGTACTGTCTTAGGGCAGAGTCATTTACTGCACAGAAATGCATGTGTGGACAGTGACTGGGACCGCAGCAGTTTGAACTGGGGCAGAGCATCCCCAGGTTGGCAGCAGTCTTGGAGAGTCAGCCACACAGCTCCACAGTTTTGGCATTCTTGTACCCCAGCCAGCCCCAGTGCTGCCACCGGGAGCCCAGACCTGACTCCTCGACCCTGCTGACAGCCCAGGGCTGCTCCACTCTGGTTCAGATTGCTCTGGTCCCGGGCGCACATGCCAATGCTGTGCCTGGGACCACATGACTCCAGTGCAAACTGCACCAGAGTTTATCACGTTGCCTTAGTGGCATGTGTAGATATACCTACTGTGTAGTATAGACAAGATCAGAGAATCAAGCCAAAGCCTAACCTGCATTTTCTCCTCTTCGTGAGAAGGCATCATGTAACTTTAGTGATGAACAGGTCTCTGGGGCAATCCCCACTCAACTGAGTTTGGATAAGCTGTGGAGCATATGAAGGTCTATCATAATACATTCAAAATGAAGATCTTGAGGAGTAAAGTTTAAATAAATTTGAAGTATGAGAACTCCAGAATTCTAAATTTTAAAAGGTAGTAAATTAGGTGTAAATAAAGAAATAAAGAATTTGGTTGGAACAGTGTTTTTAAAGGATAACTTTTTGGAGGCAATAAAGGAAACCAGTCTTATAAATGAATTCATAACATCTTTGCTGAAAACTGAGGGGAAAGATTCAAAATGGTAGAAAGATTATAAACCATAATATGACCCAGTAATTTGATGCAAAATCTCTGAGGTTCCTGGTTTATATCAAAGACAAAATGAGTCATTATAGAAAACTGTCCTTGTGGGAGATACTGCAGATACTTCATTGCAGTCTACAACAGCCTCAATGAATTCTGGGGCTTACTTTTTTATTTTGACAAAGCACATGTGTCATGGTTGATTTTAAAGCCTAGCTTGGACCTCAGTTGCAGAACTGTGAAAACATCCCTTTTGTTCTGTTTTGCCGACTGATCTCAGATTAGTAAATATTCCGCAAGGGTTACACATGGAGGCCTTGGCTCCTTGGATGAGCTGCTACCACAGCCAGGCATTTCATAAACATCCTTGGAGAAAAGCTGAGCATGAGAATGCTGAATTGACAATGGCCATGTCTACATGAGATGCTGACTGCGTAGTAGCCTGATACTACTGCGCAGAAGCGCCTCATGGCAACAACTTGCCATGCAACACTACTGCACAGTAGTATCAGGCTACCATGCATTAACATCACAAAAAAGATGTTAATTGGCATTAATGAGCAGTAACTCGGATTACTGCACAGTACTTGTTTAGTACAAGTACTAAATGACTATGCAGTAACAGTTGCACAGTCAGCATCTTGTGTAGATGTGGCCAATGAGGATTTTTGACCAGGAAACACAGATACTTCCTGAGAACTGGATAGACTGTT